ACTTCAATTGCCACGTCTCTATACTTTGTTAGTCTTTCCAATTCTTATTATTCTTATTATTCTTATTATTCTTATTCTTATTCTTATTAGTAGTAGTAGTAGTATTATACATCATGGGGTGGAATTAGGGAGAGATCATTCTTACTACAGTGGCTGTGACAGCAGTCATGTGAGACATTGCAATGCTTTTATTTTTAGCAATTTTAATAATCAAAATAAGTTCAAAGATTCACAGTAAACATAATATTTCGTTTCATAATTGTTGAGATGTTTGTTATCAAATGATGTTGAGATAATGGGACTATTACGCTTGGTCACTGTCTCTTTGTTGTGCAAGGATACCAACTGGGTTTTGCCGTAGCTCTTTGATTTCATTTGTCAGCCCGTTTGCCAAATGTAATTCAGTAACCAAATGATTTTCCACCTTGCCATTTTTTATTTTCATTTGCCACTTTAAAACTTGTTTGTCAAAGGACAAACTAGAGGACAGTTGCAGTATAATTACACTCAAATGACTGTTCAGACAAACAATTGTAAATGTTTAAAATGTATTTGACACTCCTACAAAAAAGTCATTTGCTTGAATATAAGGATTGGGGCCCTATGCAATCCTCTTTGAATGAGCTATTACAAAAAGTAGGTTTTATTTATGAACAGACATACACAGGAGCAGGTTTCAAATGACTAGAATTTTCTAGTAGCTGCAGGGCAAGAGGTGTTCATCTGCATTAAATTAAATGTCCATAGTTGGTGATAGATTCATAAATACAGTAACTTGAGAAATGAACATTCTGCAGATCTCAGATAGATTCCAATTGCACTCCTATCTGCTCATAAAGTTCAGTGAAGCTTGCTCCTAGATTACCGTATTTTTCACACCATAAGACACACTTTTTCCCCAAAAAACATTGGGGAAAAAGTGTATGCATCTTATGGAGTGACATTCCCAGATTATTTTTTCCTGTTTTCTTTGCCTAAAAATTTGGTGCGTCTTATGGAGAGGTGCGTCTTATGGAGCGAAAAATACGGGTAAATGTATCTTTGTGTAAGAGTAAGCCTTGTTAAACAGGCCAGAATATACTTCTGAGTGAACCTATACCTTTACATATACACATGTTCCTGGTTCTTACATGCCAGAAATCTGCAAGGTAGTGCAGATGTAAGTCGGGCTTTGAGACTTTTTATTATCCTTACTCCTCTCCTACCACCGGTTGAAAAATGTCATGACTATTTTGACTTTGGATGTAGTAGCTTGAAACAGTCATTTTGTGTTGCATCAAGAGCTTACTTCCCCCCCCCCAAGGTCCCTAGAGGTAGTTTTTTGACTAGGGAAAATAGCTGACTGCAAAGAACCTCTCAAGGCTATCTCCACAACCTTGCTTTGTTCTGCTTCCATTTCCTTCCCCATCTCATTATCTGTCTTCTGTGAAAACAAAAAAGAAACTTGATTTGCTTTAGTTTCATTATTATGCCTGAAATTTGGCTTAGTGTGCTTTGTGTTCATATTGTGTTTTATTATTAGAATTATCTGTTATGTTTGCAGAAGCAGATAGTGAGATATATTACACTGCCTAATGACTTTCATTTCATATTAGTAACCTGTGCCATGAATGATAAAACTCTTCACAGATGGGTTTAACTTTGCAGCTGTCCAGATCCAGATAACAAAACAGTTCCACTGTTGCTGAGACAGTATTGTTTTGAATATGTTTATAGTGGCAGACTGGGCTGAAGACAGGTATGGCTGACTGTTCCTAATGACTTTCTCTCAGTTTCACAACTGACTTGAGAAATGTATACACTTGTGAACAGAACATCATTTTTGCATCTGGTAGGTTGCCTGTCCTGTCCATAATTATAGAATGAGAGCATTGACTGCTCCTGCAACATGCCACAGACAGGAATGAAGAAAGTGTGGGCTTTAAGGCAGTGTGGGCAACTTACGGCTGTCCTAATATTATTGGATTGCAACTCCCATCATCCTTCATTGTTAGCTATGCTAGAGAGGACAGATGGAGTTAGAGGAGTACAAATTGCCTACCGTTCCTCTGTGTGGAAAAACTGGTGTAGTTTCTTTTAATCTCAAACAGCCATACAAATTAAGAAGATTATTTCTGCAGAGTACACATTACCATTAATTAGATCCACATTTCTACTATGTGTAGGACTTGAAAAATTTTAGAATGTCTCACCAATCAGTCAAAAATTTCACCAGTCAGTACGACCAGACTATAGCCTTGCAATTTATGTTTAAACTTAAATTTAAACTAGGCACTTTCTACATAACAATGCGTACAACACAAAATAAATATACTCTCAGACTTGGATTGCTTTATTACCTGCGTGCCTGTGGGGTCATGAAGCTTGTATTTTGAATGCCTTTCCTTTGAATGTCTCCAGCAAAAATAAAACTGAAAGCAAAAGTGCCCGGCCTCGTAAGGAGTGAGGTCGTTCAGTTGAAATTGGGAGTAGGGAATCGCCATATTCTCCAGCATGGGATTACTCTACATTTTCCTGCAGAGCTGTTTATCTATGTGCCACTCGAACTCTCTTCTTGTGAGAAGAGGACTGTTTTTCCTTTTGCAATGGGAAGGGGGAGGGGAGGACTGCAGGATCAGAGAGAGGGAGGGAGGGACTGAGGGTAAGGAGGGAGGGAGTTATGGCTTGTCAAGCAGTGTTTTTTCACTCGTCACAGATGAACTGGATTTTTCAAGCCATGACTATGTGTATGTGTATTGATGCTTTCTTCATTTCTACTACAATTTAGAAGGAACTGAAGAGAATAATAAAAATAGGGTTGCTTTAATGAATGTTGGTGTCTAAAAACGTAGATTTTGATCCCCAAAAGATAATATCAGATGGGTCTATATGTCTATAAACTGTCACAGACTAACACAGCTGTTTCTTTGAAATTTGTTTGAATGACGTTATCAGAAAATCAAACCAAGTATCCTAGGTTCAAAAAGCAGTCATTCCTGGCATTGAGCATGGCCTGTATAGGACCTGTCATTGGCAGACTGCACATGTGGAATGAACATTCTTCCATGAGCTGTCTCTAACTTACTGCTTTTTCCAGGACCAAAAACTCAATGCTTAGAAGGAATAAAATCACAGTTATTTTTGCAAGATTATTTAGAGAATATCTGCTTGTTTTGCACATATGCTTTCCTAGGGGAAAATTGATTTCCATCAAAGTATTGAATGAAAAATCTCTGTTCTTCTCATCTGCTGCACAAACCTATGTGGTGGTAGTGTTGTTGTTGCTGTGTGCTGTCACTTGGCCTCCAACTTACGGTGACACTATCAATGAGCAGTCTGCAAAATGTTCTCTCCTCAACAACTGTGCTCAACTCCTGTAAACCCAATCCATCTTGCATTTGGTCTTCCTCTTTCAGTCACACTGGCTTCATTGTAGCTTTTTCCAAGTACAGTGGGGTCTTGACTTGAGAACTTAATCCGTATTGGAAGGCGGTTCTCAAGTCAAAAAGTTCTCAGGTCAAATCTGCATTTCCCATAGGAATGCATTGAAAACCATTTGATCCTTATCTGCTGTTTTCCGTCCATAGAAACTAATGGGAAGCTGCTATTCTGCCTTCGACCACTAGAGGGGGATATTTTGTTTCTTTTTTTCTTAGGTCAAGAAAGGTTCAGGGAAGGCAGGGAAAATACAGTCCAGGCAGTACCAGGCAGTCTGAAGACTCCCAATCCACTCTCTAAACGCTGGGAGGAGTGAGGAACATAATTTTATATTTTTCTGTTTATCTTACAGACAAAAATGGCACAGGTGAAGCAAGTAGGCCTATTAGCCGCAGGATGTCAGCCGTGGAATAAAGATGTGTGTGCTGCTAGCAGGGATAGATTTGCCTATTGTGCGACTCTTGCTATTTACATATATCAAGTAAGAAAAACGTTTAGACTTTGCTTTCAGTACTTATATTTTCTTGATTACATACTAGCATTTGTGAAAGCTGTTTTGTATCTTAAAAATGGTAACTAATGCAGACAGCTCAGATGACCTGTTGCAATGCAGGTGTTCTATGAAGCCAACAGGTCCAGGTAGAAATGTATACATGTACCACTTCAACAAGGAATCCAATCAATTTCAGTTGACCTTTTTGAGCAATGACATGGGTTTTGCATATTGAATCAGATGTGCATCCACAGAGGCTTTGTATGTATTATTCCAATCCCATTTTTCTTTTAGTTTTATACTCATGCATTCCCTACCTAACTTTAGAATACCAAGATTGTTCTTGAAATTCTTTTGTAGTTTGGTGCTAATGAAGTTTAAAGAAAAGATATTGTCTCCAAACACATCACACTCTCTATTGGATTGCTCTTTAAACTATTCTTATGTCAAATTCCACATGCAATTAGACACATGAATAAATCCTTGGAGGATGGGAAATTTCCTTTCTATGAATTTACTGAAATTAACTTTATAATCTTATTTAGTAGTTCTTGAACTTCATTATTGGTTAAAATGCAAGCTAAGTATTTGCTTTAAGTAATTTGCTAAAACTGCAAACTGAATATAAAATGTTTAAGAATTTAGTGAAATGAAATAAATTGCTTTGTAGTTGGATCATCAATACAATGAATTCAAGCTGTGGGCAATTATGTCTGAACACAAGAAGACAATCACAGCTATTTCCTGGTGTCCCCATAATGATGACCTATTTGCAAGTGCAAGTGCAGATAACTTGGTAATAATTTGGAATGTGGCTGAACAAAAAGTTGCTGCAAAACTTGATGGTACAAAAGGTATGTGAGAAAGCCAAGTTTTAACGCTAATCTACTGCAAGATAAAATCATTTGTAATTCATTATAGGATAAATCTATATGTGCTTTTCTTTTCATTAAAGAACCTGGTTGAGACTCCCACAAATAAATTGGCGGATTTTTTATAATTCCATCTTTAGTTCCCTGTCCAAATTTGGTCCAGAAGACTGGGGAAACAGCAGAATAGTATTATTCCAGGGGTGGTGGGAAGAATACTTTAAAATCTTCCTGTTCACTGGAACCTCTGTTTTGCTTGATTGAAGGGAATTCTTCCATGAAAAGAATAACCCCTTTAGATACAACCCCATGTTGAAATAATGTTTTAAAATACTAGTTGTTACTAAGGGTTGTTTTTTTTTTGCCCTGGCTACTGTTAGTATTATTTTGCTGGAATAACACAAAACAAAACCAGTCTGATGGATTTTCCAGAGAGGAAAGTGACATTACAGATTTTTCTTCTGATTTTTTTTCTTGAGTTAAATGTAAAAGTGCATGGTTATAACTGATGCCACACATCAATTAACATTTCAGTATATTTTCTTCTAGCACAGAGGGTGTGTTAATGTCCTTTGTTCACAGTGGCTTCCCTACTCTTTCTCAAGAGGAAGCTGATCCACGTGATTTCTTCCTTTTCTCCATGAAGATCTTTTTTCCTATTGAAATAAATGAGACAGTGTATAGAGGCATGAGATGTGGTTTGGTATGACGCATGCAACTGGTTGGCCACAGCTGGGAATTACAGCAGAGAGATGAGACATTTGGCTCTCTCTTTATAATGTTAGACATCTAGTCCCATTGCCCCTCATCATTGGCTAGGTCACATGGGAGTTGATATTCAACAACATCTGGAAGGCCAGGTAATCTTCAATCCTGAATTACTGTGTAGAAAACATATGTTGTACACCTGTATTTCAGTTTCAGCTACATGAAAGTGCATTTATGAGTATACTTGTAACCAATGACACTGTAGCATTTTTCATTCACTTTAGAGTGGTTTTTATGAATATATGGTTTTAAATGGATTTGACAATACCTTTGTTTAGTCCAAGTAGCAGTACTTTTCTCAAATTCATATGGCCTTTTCATTCTAGTGAAATTATTTCCATGGGTGTTTACAGAATTTTTTTCCTTGGAGGGCAAATTACATTGGAATAAGCACATATTCTCTTCGTGTTTTTCATGTGAAGTTTGACTATGTACACTGGGAAGCGAACAGTGATCAAACTCTTTTTTAAATTAATTTTAACATTCCATAACCAGAGATAACATAGCAAATATTTTCATATTCCTTGATGTTTATGTTTCAGGTGTTCCTGCATCTCTTAGTTGGTGTTGGAATGCAGGTGATGCGGTTGCATTTGTCTCTAATAGAGGTCCATTATATATATGGACAATTTCAGGACCAGATAGCGGTGTAACTATACATAAAGATGCCCACAATTTTTTGTCAGACATCTGTCTGTTTAGATGGCATCCCAAGAAGAAGGGGAAAGTTGTTTTTGGACATACTGATGGAAGTCTTTCTATTTTTCAGCCAGGTAAGAACATGTATTGTAAGACAAAGAGATTGAGTGCTTTTTTGATTGCAATGAAGAAAACTTGTTAGTTTGAGAAAACAGAATGGTAAGAATAATATTTTCTTGTGTTTTATTCATTGAAGGAGTGATAATCTCAACTTTGTACAGCACAGAGGAAAATTTCAGTTTAGGAAGTCTGTATTGTAATGTCATTTCTTCATTAATATTATAGTTTATTTATAACAAATGTTCCTTCAATATTGTCTTTCTCTATAAAGGACAACCTAACAATTAAAATGTGGAAAATTGTGATAAAAATCAGTGACTAAAGAATGTGCCGTTCCTTTTTATATGGCCTCTTGGTATTAGATTCCCACATGGAAGGAAGAAATGACTACAGAATATTACAATTTGGGCAGCTTATAAGCACAACACATAGCTTTTCAGCGTGGAGACACTTTTGAGAGATGCTAGTAATAGCAAAAAAGTGGTAATTGTTTTTGCTGCAATTTGCGTGCAGCTACAAAGTTTGCCATACAACTTCTACTGATGTGCTTAGAAGAGTGGAACTGGTATCTGAAAGAACACATTAGTTTTGGTATAGAAACTACTTCAGATTTCTGCGTGATTCTTTTTGAAGGGCAGATCCTTTTGATTTGGGTTTGTTTGTTGAATGCTGATGTGCTTGTGATTTATTTATTTTTGTGTTCTTCAGTGTTGACAGTTCCGAACTGTGACAATTTACCCTTCAACATGCAATCTACAATTACAAATGTCACTGTGAAAGTAGCTACTGTGTAGGGAACTTTGGGAATGTAGAATTCTACATGTAGGTTATTAAATTTCCCATGTATGAAGCAAATTTCTGCAAATTATGGACAACCACAAATTTAAAGAGTTCACAGAAAGAATGGACAACATGCTTGCAGAAAAAAAGATCATGTTATATCTACAGCAGAATTATTGAATTATCAAAGAGTCTTGTACATTTAAGAGTTAACATGAACCTTCATGGATGCAACCCATTTCTTTAGATTCATGAAGCACAGTACACAAGCCATAGGCTTATATGCATATAATTTCTAGTTATGTGTATGGGACAAAATTAAATAAGATGTAGAAAATCTTGTGCCAAATAAAGTTATTTTGTCTTAAAGGTGCTAGAAAATTTTGTTATTTTCTGTAAGGATTTAACACAGCTATTTCCTTGGTAAAAAAAAAAATTGTGGAGGAATTGCATTTGTTGGTACAGAATCTGATTTAAATGCTTAACTTTTAACAAGGCATTAAGATGAAATTATAATGAATGTTATTCCTGCCTTTAATCCCAGCAATACAAAGTGCTGTTTTGGCCTTTCAAAAATTACTGAGTACCTTCATTGCTGTATTTTAAGGCTGATTCATTACTGTGTAATTAGTACAATGTAATAGTGTCTTGTAATTAGAATTATTTTAGCATTTTCTGTAGTACATACACTTTACTTTCCACTAATAAGGGTTCTTTAGCTGCACGTAGTAATGTAACAGATACATCCTAGAAGAAAGGAAAGTTTGAAAGATAGAAATTTGTACTGTAATTTCAACTTGAAAGAGGCTATTCATTTTCAAGTCCTAAACTCTGCAGAACTTCTCTTGGCAACTTGATATTGCACATTCACTTGTTTACATACAAGTTAATTCCACTGAGTTCGGTGAAGCCTGCTCCACAGTAACATATAGGCACAAGTTTTAATGGTACAGAAATGAATTTGAATTCTGAAATGAGGAAATTTATTGCGTGATAAGGTTCTGCTTTGTCCAGTCTGACATGCTCTAGACATGTGCTAAAGTTCTATTGTCTTCAGCCAGCAGGTCAAACTCAGTTCTGGATAGGGATGATGTGTTATAATCCAGCATGTCTGCAGGCCCCAAATAGGCAAACCTTCCTATGTACACTTTCGTATTTCCTTCAGTATGTGCATTGTGGAATATTGCTGAAAATCAGCTGTCATGAGCAAGAACAATATAGGGTTGGCTTGCCCCAAGTCTAGTACTTTGAAATAGTGTTGAGAAAGATAGAAGGATGCTCTAGTGCAGAAATCTCACTATTGCCACCATGTTGTGGAGGACATTTTCAGCATTTGTAGAGCATTTCTCTGCTACCACCAGTTGTGGAGATTCTACATCAGTCACCATGTATTGATACTACATTTCATTTGGGAGTATAATTTGAGTGCAATTTTACTCTTGTGATGGTATCTTATGAGAAGCCTTATTTTTCCTGTCATCCTATAACTTCAATACAAAACTTTCTCACTTCAGTACTTCTCTCTGTGCTTTAGGTAGCTCAACCTAGTTGTAGGGTCAATAGATAAAGGTCTTACTCAACATTAGTTGAATATATATACAGTAAACTATAATTTAACAGTAAATAGGATGTTATAAATATTTGTTATATTAAATGATGTTGGTTAGAATCCTCTTATTATGTATGCCAGTGAATTGCTGGTAGTTAAGAAGGCAAATTTCAATGGCCAATTGCTAGTAAAGAAGTTACAAGCAACAAAGAACGCATTCAATGACTCCTTATAACTGGTAGCTATTTGCTGCTGCAATTTATACTGTTGCATTTATTCCAGCAAAGATAAGTAATCGGATTCCTTTAGATATATCAATTTTGTTACAACAGCCTTTAAGAGTAACCACTCAATCTAGTTCTGTTCCTCATCTAATCAATAGCCATTTCACCTATCTGGGTCTACCCCAATTAATAAACAAGCTAGTTCTCTTGACTTGGTGTTTAGTACAGTTGTGCAGATGCTGTTGGGAAGGTTGCACTACAACAACCGGATTTCCCCAGACAGTTTTAGGATACCTCTAATGTCCAGTCTTCATTCTGTGTTTAATAGTATGCTATTACTTTAAAGCATCTATCCTTGACTTTTCCCTAATGTCTTCATACTGTTCCAGCAATTTATTTACCTAGGTCACCAACTGCCACTTTGGTTTCTTTTTTTCCTGGAGGCTGCTGCAGACTTTTCTTTTCCTCAGCAAATGTTTTTTGCCTTGACTAATTTCAACTACCTAATTTCAACTACTTATTCCCAATTCTGCTACTCGGCGCCACTGCTGGCTCAATCCGGAACGGATTAACCTCGCTATACGGGGCACCACTGTACCTGGCCAGCTCTCTTATTCCCAATTCGGCTACTCGGTGCCACTGCTGGCTTTCTGTTCCAGATGACTGGAATTTTGCAGTTCTTTGCCAGTCTCTGCTCACTGGCTAACTGCTAAAACTGTATTTATCCTGGCTTCAGCCTTCTATATACTGTTCAGTCAGATTATTATTAATCAATCTCAAAGCTTATCTGAAATTCCAAAGTGACAACATGTTGAGAACCCAATAATGAGTTGGATGTGTCTGTTTTTGTATACATTGTCTCAAACCTGCCTTTCTAAAACTATTCTTATTGGCATATAGTTGCAATTTGACAGCCACTCAATATATCCAAGTGTTCGGTAAATAACACACTTCTTTATTCTGTTTGGTTAACCCACTCATAATACATGTAAACTTCATATAAACATTCAAGTAGTTATCTTCCCTACAGAACTGTTTCTTCATACGAACCCTTTAGCCTTCTAGATATTTTAGACAACATCATCCACAGTCTTTTACCATTGAACTTGGTAAGTGGGACTTAATAGTTTGTAGGGCAAAAGTCTGCTTGGCCAAGGGTTTCTTACCCTTGCTATAGTTTAATAGAGTCATACTAGAGCTAATGATGTCTGTTGGGAGCAATAAGTTTCATAGCAACCATATCCCAGTTTCTTGGATTTTACTTGTTAGACTATGCAGTTTGATTTTGCATATGTTTTAATGGCAAGGCAGGACAGGACAGGGCATTCACAGCCAGGACTTTAATGAGATAGTAAGGCTAAGTATTTCCAAAGAGTGTTCCTTTTTCATTAACGGGAACTTTTGACATTTAGTATTACAATGCCTATGCTTGACTGGATTATTACCCTCTGGGTACATGTCCAATGTCCATGAAGATCTGTTTTTAAAAGTGATCTTCAGTATAAATACAGTATTAGGATATGTTTGTTCTGCTTTTCTAACTCTTGTCTGCATTTGAATTATACATTTTTACTTTTCAAGGTACTAAGAGTCAGAAACATGTTCTGAGACCAGAATCTCTTGAGGGAACAGATGAAGAAGATCCAGTTACTGCTCTTGAATGGGACCCTCTGTCAACAGACTACCTTCTTGCTGCAAATTTGCATAATGGAATCCGACTGGTTGATTCAGACTCTCTGTGCTGTATTACTGCATTTAATTTCCCTAGTTCCGCAGCATCTGTGCAGTGCTTAGCTTGGGTTCCTAGTGCTCCTGGAATGTTTATCACTGGAGGTAATTTAAAAAATAAATAATATTTAATTTCATACCGTTCAGAGCCATGAATTACAGCCTGCTTTGTGGTAACAAAATAGGAATTGCATGATATGTTAGCTAAAAGGTAAGGATATACACAGTCTTTTAAGAGGGGAAAAGATTTGCTAGCACCATCATCCTGTCAAATGTTAGCTAAAAGGTAAGGATATACACAGTATTTTAAGAGGGGAAAAGATGATTTGCTAGCACCATCATTCTGTCAACACTGAATAGATTCTCTGTGTTTGAAGGTAGGAGGTGATAATTCTATGATTTCTGGGCCTTGCTAGGTTGAACTGGGACAGATGGGTGTGGAAAAAGGTTGTCTTTATTATAGTATCTGTTGGCTAGTGTTCAGAATGCCAGAATAGCTTATGTAATTCATCCTCATCTCCATTTGCAGAATAGTTTTGCAGGTGGTTTTTAAAAAGTATTGTTTTTTGTATTGAGAGAGATGGAGAAAAAGAGCATACATGTACTTATACACCCTTTTGGGAGTCTGATAAGTAAAGAAAGGATCAGACTGAGGGCGCACCCATGACGTGAGAGTATATACACCTGGTACATGTTCAGTTTGCTATTTGTGCTTACAGTGGTGCCTCGCTTGACGAGGATAATTTGTTCCGTTCAAACCGCTGTTAAGCAAAATCCTTGTCAAGCGAAATGAAAAAGCCCATTGAAATGCATTGAAAACTGGTTCAGTGCATTCCAATGGGCAAAATAATTCAGCATCCAGCAAATATCCTCCATAGGGCAGCCATTTTCCAGTGCCTGTAATGCGAGGAATCCATCCGAAGGCACAGCGGGGAGCCATTTTGCATAGCAGGTGGCCATTTTGAAACCCGACAATCAGCTGTTTTTGATCTTCGTTAAGCGAAAAACCGGTTCCCAAAGCAGGGAACCGATCAACGTTAAACGAAAAAAGCCCATTCAGTCATTGTTTAGCGATCGCAAAAAACTAATCAAGCGATTTCCTCATCTAACGAGGTAATCGTCAAGCGAGGCACCACTGTATAATGTGATTCATGAAACTAGTCTCATGCACTGTTTAAAATGTCTGGCTTCATCTGTAACACTTCATGAAACTGGATGTGGACTCTTAAGACACAATCATTGGCCGATCCATCTGGCCATCATGGAATAGTGACACCATTGCCATTTCTGCTCCTCTCTGGAAATATTTTCCTTCAGATATGGTCTTTGTTAATTTCTTATGTTATCTGTAACAAAGTCTGTATATGTAACATAATCCAAAAAAGAAATACAATTTGTCTTTTAAAATACAGATTCTCAGGTTGGTGTGTTACGTGTTTGGAATGTGTCACGAACAACACCAATAGATAACCTCAAATTGAAGAAAACAGGTTTCCATGGTTTACATGTTCTCGGTTCTCCTCCACAGAAAAAATGTAAGTATACATTTCTGGTTTATACCAAATCAATGAACAAACTACACATTTTTGAGTTTGTACTTCTATGTTTTTACCTGTTCAACATGATATGGGTTAATTAAATGTTAAATAGTCATCAAAAGGCAATGAATAGTGATCCAAGACAGATTCCAATCTTGGATCACTGGGATTTATAATAGATTCTTCTTTTTTAATGTAAAATGGTTGTTAGAAGTTTACAAATAATTTTCTCAACTCATCACCATATATCCCCTTCTCTTTCTCTGAAGTCCTGTAACATTTTCCCCCAAGTTTGGAATGTAGCAGAAACCCCTAATAACTCCCACATCTGCTTGAAGGTTAAACTCATAAAGTTGGACCCTTGGTTGGTCAAAAGTTCTTTGGGAAACCCCATCCTAGAGAATACCCCTAACAACTCCTTGGCTAGGACCTTGGTCGTGGTGGTGCGCAGGGGTATCGCTTCCTGGTACCTGGTTGCATAGTTATCACCATTATATACAAGTGTCCCCCCTGACTTCACCAGTGGTCCCACAATATCTAAGCAATGCAATCAAAGGGTCGGTCCACTAGGGGCATAGGTATTAACTCTCCTCCAGGTTGAGGCTTTGCCTGAGTGATTTGACATTTAGGGTAGGACCGACAATAGTCCTCTACCTCCTTGGCCATGTGTGGCCAGAAAAACCTTTGCTGCACTCTCACCAATGTTTTCTGTACTGCCAAGTATCCCGCTAACAGCACATCATGGTCTAGTTCAATCCTTTAAGTCTTTCAGGTAGTACCATCTGGGTTTCTTCCCCAACGTCTGTTTTGCTTACGCGGTACAATACTCCATCCCTCATGTCAAAATTTATTCTCCCTCTTGTGTAGTTCCTTCCAGAACTGCCTTTAGTTGGATCTCCCCCAGTCTCATGTCATCTTGTTGCCAATTCCTCCGTTGATCTCTGGACATATTTAACATTTCTTCCTCTAACATACATTTTTCAGCTCCCCCATTGTGCACCTCGGCTATCATTTGTGTCAGTTCTTCTACTCCCAGCCAGTCTCTTCCTAATGGCACCTCTCTTCCTAACTGGGCACCACCCCAACTTCCATTTCTCTTATCTGGTCTCCTTTTTCAATTTGGGCTTGTGCCACTCCATAAGGTTTTACATCCCTGTGAACACATTTGATAAACATCTGTTCAGGTAGTCTGTCCCTGAGCAAGTCTCCTATAAGGGTCTTGCTACATCCAGTATCAATGAAAGCCCTTTTCCATACTCCATTCACCTTTGCTTTGACTACCCAGCCCGGATGATCACCTGTACCAACCTTGGCCATGAGGGCATATATGTTTGCCCACGCGCATTCCTCGGTTTGGCCATGAGGGCATATATGTTTGCCCACGTGCATTCCTCAGTTGGACAGTATTTTTTAATATGTCCAAACTACCCGCAGCTGTAACACGCCACCATACATTCCTTTGGTGTGGTCCATGTTGCCACTTGTCACCCTTGGGTAGGTTCTGCCATTATCGTGGGTCTTGGTATTTGGCTACCTGTTTGGTTGACAAACTCTATTCGGTCTGGACATGTTTTTTTGTATGTTTGGATGTTCGGCCCTCTCAAATCCGCGTTCCCTGCTGCTTCGGCCATCTTGTCTTTGGGTTTTTCCACCTACGTCATTCCTCTGTTAAACCATGACTCTTCTGCTCCTAAATAGTCTTCCAACAAAGTTATAGTGACCTCTAGGTTGGCAGCTCCTAAATAGTCTTCCAACAAAGTTATAATGACCTCTAGGTTGGTGGGTTTGTTCTTCATCACCCAGTTTCTGGGACCCGCTCCTAGTGTAGAGGTAAGTTGTTCCATAATCACAATTTCTAACACTTAGTCTGCCATCTTTCCCTTGGGTTGTACCCATCTCATGGCATTGACCCTCATCTTCTGTGCCAGGGTTCTTGGATGGATTCCCGGGCGTAGTCATAGGTCTCTGAACTGTCTCCGATATGCTTCTTCGTTCAAGTTCAATGTGTTTAGGATGGCAGTTTTGACTTTTGTATAACTGCCTGCCTCTGTCAGATTTAGGATGGCAGTTTTGACTTTTGTATAATTGCCTGTCTCTGTCAGGTCTAATGTGTCTACTATCTCTTGTGGTAGTCCTGTTAAATATGATATAAGGATCAGTAGCCAGTGTTCCGTTGGCCATTGTGCCGTTGTCGCTAATCATCCAAACATATTGAGGAATGCCACCGGGTCATCATGTGGTCCCATTTTTTGTAGTTTTATGGGTGGTTGGCTTACTGTCAGCGTTTTCTGTTGTGTTGTCCCTGACGATAGCGGTGTAGTCAGGTATGTTTGTGCCAGTTTTTAATCAGTAATTGTTGGTCTGCTAGTTGTTTTATGATGGTTTCTTGTTCTCCTGTTACTTTGCGGAGCCAGTCTTCTGCTGGGCCTCCCAGTGTCGAAGGCCCCCTGTGTTGGGCACCAATATGTGAGGGTTCGACTTTTGGCTCCATATTTAGTTCAAAGAAATCAGTAGATTTTTGCTGCTTCAAAGCAGGTGAAAGATTTATTGGTGCATTTTAACAATAAACAAGTGTCTGGAACATGATTATGAGCCTTTTCTCCTTCTGCCAACGGGTCTGGAAGGGGTTTCCATTTGTCAAACAGGAACAGGTTTCCATAACTATTGTTCCATGGTCCTGGTAGATCAGTGGGGACCCAGTCTTTTACGGTCTGCCTCGTCAGGCCTTCCAGCAAGGGCACGGTCTCCTCATCCAAGTTGTCATCCCACAGGATCCGTTTATTGGGGTCTCGGCTCTTCCAGGATCCTCCCTGTAACTCATTCTCTTCATCTCCCTTACTCTCCATTCCAATCGTTCTCCCCTTTCTCTCTCAACTTGTCTCCTTTTCCTCTCTCAATCTCCTCCTCCATTCTCTTGCCTTGGCTTCTCCCCAATAAAAAGGTCTAGGTGGAATCTCTGCTCTTCTCCTTTAATCTGTTTCCTCTTTGGGCACTTTTAATCTCTCCCATAATCCAGTCCATGGATCCTGCATGCACACCCATTCCCAACTTTTCTTCTTTCCTCTCTACCTCCCCCGTTCCTGCTTCAAACTGCATCCTCTTTTTCCTCTCTCTTCCCGCCTTTTCTCCTTGAAACTCCCCCCCCATCATCACTTTCTGTATGTCTTCTGTCAGATCCTCTATGTCTCCTGCTGAGGTTTCACTGTAGGTTGTGGTGTGGGTTTGGGGTCCATTTTCTTAGTTTTGTTGTTGAGGAGGGATGGTTCTCCAGTGAGTGGGGTATCCCTCTCGCCCTCTGTCTCACAAACAGCCAGAGAGGAGGGGGTCTGGTGTAATGTATGGCCATTTGAAACACATCTTCCCAGCATAATTAAACCTTTCTATGTGAACCAATTGCCAAAGTGCTGTATAGAGAGAAGTTCTCATCTGGCTGGGACAAACCTGTGTACTGTCATGCCCTTTGAAGAATTTATTTTCATGCTAGAGTCCCAAAAGAATTGCCTCTCAGAAGTTGGTGTTTGCATTTCAAGAAAACCCTCTTCATCTGCTCCAAAGTGCTATACTCATTGGCAGATTATTTTCTGTACTATAATATTCTGTCAGTTAATTTGCTAATGTCTTAAAACTCACTAATGAGTCTTCTCCTCCTAATTATTCTCAGTGGCCAAATCTTGCATAATTTCCTCCTCTGCTTTGTCAACATTGTTTTAGAATCAATCTTTGTTTCCTAGGTCTTCATTACTAACCATTTAAAATGTGTTTAACTATTTTTTCTTTGTTATTAGCATTATCTTCATTGCATTTATTCAGACTGTCAAGTGATGCACAACTATAGTATCCTATTAAATATTTCAGTGAATATTGCAGTAATGGATTTTATGTGATATACTGGAGAATTCTAAACAGAATGTGTAGGAGCAAAAGGTGTGTTGTATGTCTTTTCGGTGCACAATAAAACCTGTCTGTACTAGCAATGCGTTCCATAAGCTTTAATTCTCATGCAGATGTTTTTGGACTGTAACTACCATCGTTCTTGGTAGCATAGCCAGTGGTCAAAGTATACATTACAAATACTGTTGTACATACACTTATTGAGTTATTTTACATGTATTTCAAACTTGTGTATACCTCCTAGGCTGCCCACAGTAACTAAATATATCTCTAAACGGTTTTGTTGGCAATATTTGGAGAGTGCCCACAACATTCTCTTAAGTCCTATTGGTGTCCTTGACAAAAGCACGGCGTCGTCCGCATACAACAATGTAGCAATATGTATACTTGCCAACTTAGGGGGATGATGCTCCGGTAGATTTAACTGAGTGGCTAAATCATTTATGTAAAGGTTGAATAACAGGGGGGCCAGTATGCAACCATGTTTTACACCTTTCTCGGTCTTGATAGAAGCTGTAAGATGGCCTTGTGCATTAGTTTTAACTCGTATTGTGGTATTTTTATATAGCGCTCTAATTAAAAATAAGAGACGTTTGTCAATAGTAGAGTCTCTTAATTTGGCCCATAGGATATTCCTTGAGATTGAATCAAAGGCGGCTCTAAAGTCAATAAATGCTGCATAAAGGGATACAAGCTTCTTAGAAGCATATTTTGAGATTAAGTGCTCCAGAATCACGAATTGATCCAGTGTTGAGTGACCCTCTCTAAATCCTGCTTGTTCTTCAGCCATATAGTTCTCTTGATCAATCCAATCTCGTAATTTCCGCTGCAAGTGTCTGGCATACAATTTACTTAATATATTGAGTAAGCTAATAGGTCTATAGTTTGATGGAAGATCTTTATTGCCTTTCTTATATATAGGAACAATTATCGCCAGCCCCCAATCCTTGGGAATTCTCCCAGAGTTGTCAATTGCTATAAATAAGGATGTTATAATTGGTACCCACCAGGCGCTACAACTGGGCAATTTGGGTATGCATAAGGTGTATCAAGGCCTGGTCCCTTTACATTGTGTGTCACTATTATATCCTTATTTATTTGTTTCCTTTTCGGCTTGGGGACACATTGGGGGGAGCTTTTATTAGTATCCCGCTTCCTTCTATTATTACCAGTGGTAGCATCCACATCTAATAGTTAAAGTTAAATGGCCAATATCAAAATGTTTAAGTGAGCTACCCCCTGCTCATACCATAATAAAAACAAAACACATGTTCCGAGCATGGAAGTAAGTTCTATTATCAATCACTTCTAAGGAAATATATTTGGTAAAGATTTAGGATCAAAGTGCCAAGGCCTTTATACCAGTTTCTGTCACTATATCTAATCAAGGCCCATTTAAAAACAGTTAACAAACAATGTGTTTTTTTTAAGTGATGTAAAACTGTTTAAAATTCACGAGCGCCTATTTTTATACAGTATAGTATTTTTATAACGGGTATAAATGTTATATTCAGCTGCACTTTAAGTAAAATATGATCATACAAGAGAACTTTTCACTGCTGGTTACAAGTGTTCAGTAACACTGCTTTTGTTAACAATGAAACATTTAAAAGGAATGCAAATATATTTTATCTCTTAATTCAGCATTTTCTTCACAATCTCCCTCCAAAAATCATCACATGTCATCCACAAGTGAGGCTGTACCTCCTCCAACTCTTACCCCAAACAAAGCATTTTCTCTTCCCCCTGGACATGCTGTCTGCTGTTTCATGGATGGAGGAGTGGGACTTTATGACATGGGAGCCAAAAAGTGGAATTTTCTTCGAGATCTGGTATGTTTGTTCATTTTTCTAAGCTTTCAACTGCTCAGATATGTAAAATATTCATGAAATAATGATGCAACTAGAGTAGCTCATTGAATCAGTGGAATCAGCTCTGCCACAAGTTCCACTGATTCAGTTGGCTTACTTGTGATTTATATTAGAATTTCATTTCAAAATTTAAGTTAATTATTTGTTTTTTAACTTATAGTTGAGTTTTGTTTCAATTCATTTTATTTTTATAAGTTGACATTTTATTATGTGTAATTCAGAGCTTGTGTGTTTCCCCAGAAGTCAGTTTAATTGGTAAAGGGCAATCTCAACATTTTGTAGTAAATAAATATTTGCTTTATTATTTGTGCATTTAGCCTTTGAGGAGAGAAAAATACAGCAGGGATGTGGAGAAAGAGTTTTTCTACCAACTACCAGAGAAGGTATAAAAGAAATGTTATATGGGCCTTATCTTTGTTCCAGGGTCATGTTGAAACCATCTTTGACTGTAAATTCAAACCTGACAACTCTGACCTTTTAGCTACAGCTTCATTTGATGGAACAATAAAAGTGTGGGATATAAATACTTTAACAGCTGTCTATACTTCTCCTGGTAATGAGGGGGTAATATATTCCCTTTCATGGGCTCCAGGTGAGAATATTATACCTTAATTTTTGCATAATATAGAAAATGAAATTCTTCTAAATTAGTAGTTAAGATTTTCCAGAGAAGTGACCTTTTGCAGCAGAAACAGCAAGAATAAAGACTTATGTGGTAGTTTTAGACAAGTGCTAGTGTTAATTATCTTACCTATATCAAGTTGTTGTGATGTTGTTAATACATGCTTAGTGAATAGTCAGTAAAAGATATGAATATACTTCTAAGATTTAATTTAAGATTTTAGTTGCTATAGACGTGTAGTTGCTATAGACAGTAGTTCTATGTCTCATTACTTTCCAGTCTTAAAATATCTGCTCCTTACAACTGTATGCCTGCCAACTCTTGCTATAGACAGTAGTTCTATGTCTCATTACTTTCCAGTCTTAAAATATCTGCTCCTTACAACTGTATGCCTGCCAACTCTGGTTAACATTTGGTGATAGGTTTACTCCTATGCCCAGTTTATTCTTAAAATGTCTGCTCCTTACAACTGTATGCCTGCCAACTCTGGTTAACATTTGGTGATAGGTTTACTCCTATGCTTTGCCCAGTTTATGGCTTTGCCCAGTTAAACCCATTTCTGGGCATTTTTTTCACCTACCTGAGTGCTGCTATCTAGAATATTAACTTAAGTTGTATATATCACTGTGTATGCTTGTTTTGCCCAATGCAGTGCCTATATGTGTTCTGGTGTTTTCAGACTCCTTAATTAGGCCAGCTTGTGAGAATCAACAGAGTACCAACATGTCATAACAAACAAAAGGCTTACCTTATTCTACATTTGAGGGGGGGGGGGAACCAAGGCATTCTCTGTAAAAGGGAATGAAATGATGAAGTTTGCATAATAATTAATAAAAGAATTTTATAAAAGAAGAAAAGGAAGAGAACAGAGAAATTTGTAGAAATCAAGTGAATTTAACAATATTTGTGAAATTCATTGCACTGAATTGTGCCTTTGGTAAGGGGAAGATTTACTTAACTTCCATGATATACTGTAGACATACCTGAAGCTTTTGGGAATCCATTTCCAAAGAAGTTTGCATAATAATTAATAAAAGAATTTTATAAAAGAAGAAAAGGAAGAGAACAGAGAAATTTGTAGAAATCAAGTGAATTTAACAATATTTGTGAAATTCATTGCACTGAATTGTGCCTTTGGTAAGGGGAAGATTTACTTAACTTCCATGATATACTGTAGACATACCTGAAGCTTTTGGGAATCCATTTCCAAAAAAACATGAAAAGTTTATTTCAGGATTGAAATGCTTATTAAGGCTCACTGTTCAGTTTAAAAAGCAAAGTGTCCTGCTTATATACCGCCCCATAGTGCTTCAAGCACTCTCTGGGCGGTTTACAAGTTAATTATGCAGGTGACACATTGCCTCCCCAACAAGCTGGGTGCTCATTTTACTGACATTGGAAGGATAGAAGGCTGAGTCAACCTTGAGCCGGCTACCAGGGATTGAACCCCAGGTTGTGAGCACAGTTTTGGCTGCAGTACAGCGATTTAACCACTGCGCCACGAGGCTCATAATTAAGAAACACTGACTTCAAAGAGACCTATTCTATACCTTTTGGGTTGAAAAAAAAGGATAAATATACATATAATTAACTCTTTTCTAAAGGAGACTTAAACTGCATAGCTGGGGCAACATCTAAAAATGGTGCTTTCATTTGGGATGTGCCACGGGGCAAAATGATAACCCGTTTCACTGAGGTAAGATGAGTTTATTTTGCTTTTCATATTGTTATAAATAAGCTACAATTCCCACTAAAGTCTATTTGAGAAAATATTTAGTTTGTGCACTAGTCCTATTTTACAAAAGTTTATCAACTGTAAAACTAGGACACATTTTGTGAAAGTTTTAAAGAATGGTCACTAGTGCTTTTATGTTAAGCAGTCTTGAAGATACAGATGACTTGTTTATTAGGCAGGTGAGCAACTGCAGGCCAAGGATTGGTGAATTCCACTGTTTCCACACCCACCCAACCAAGAGTCCCCGAACTTTCTCCTTTTCTAATCGTCTTAATTCCCAACAGCAATGCTTGCCTCCCTTCCATCTCTGTCTGCCTTGTACCACTGTGTAAATCATAAAGGTGGCTTAGCTCCCAACTTCTAGCTGCCTGACATTAGGGACTAAGTTACCTCTGTGTAAAGTCACACCAACAGCTGGCATTGTGTCACACATAGATTAGGTAAGCAAGTGGTTAGAAAACAGTTACCTTACTATGAGAAAGGGAAGTGAGGTAGGTGAGGTCTGGAGAAGAGGAAAGGAAAGGCAGATGATCAGCTCCTGGGGAAGAAAAAGAGGAGGCAAGGTGAGCTGACCGTGATGATGGGGATAGCAGTGGTGATTCTTTTACTAGCTCAGGCAATATTGTAGAGGGATATCTGTGAAAGGCAACCAAAGGTTCTTCTACAGGAATTTTTTCCCATACATAGCCTCTTGAGAGAACTTTTCAGCCCCCTAAAAATACTGACTTCGAGCTGGCAGCATTAGTAAAAATTGATGCTGTCTTCTATGATACAGAGATGGACAAGTTGCTGATAGTATATACTAAAAGTTTTCTAATTCAAAATAAAATAATTTTAAAATGCAGTATCAATTTTGTGTTTTTAAAAGCTGCATGCTAACATTTTATAAATCAAAAGTATTAATGAAAAGGAGTTGAAGACCCTATATTTGTAGCTACTCAGGATCCATGAAATCTGATCCTAATGAAGTCAATAGTTTTCATTAATATTGTTGAATTACAAATAGATTGCTCTGACCCAAATATTAACTACTGTATTCATCTTTACCTGGCTATCATTCTTCCTTCTTTTCCTCATTTCTCTGCTAAAACATAAGAACTTTTCAACTTGAGAACCACCTTCCAATACGGATTAAGTTCTTAAGTAGAGACCCCACTGTAATATTGTTTAATTACAAATAGATCACTCTGACCCAAATATTAACTACTGTATTCATCTTTACCTGGCTATCATTCTTCCTTCTTTTCCTCATTTCTCTGCTAAAATTACTAGTCATGCTACTTAAGCCAGCCAGGGAATACTAGAATTCATTTGTGTGTTCTGGTTTCTTTATAAATGTCTTAACTTTGGTCTATATATTTTATTTCAAATACGTTACATTCTACGATTACAAAATACCATGTGAGAAAGATATGAATGCATTCTTGACTCAGTGGATGGTAAAACTACTATGAATCATGTTAGTGAAAAGGTGGCAAATCAGACATGTTTATAAATAAGAGAAAAAGGGGTGAATTATTTCTTATTGATAGGAGTTTTACATTTTTTGAAGCATGGAAAAAATGGAATCTTCTGCATTGCATGGAGTCATAAAGATTCAAAAAGGATAGCAACTTGCAGCAGTGATGGATTTTGGTGAGTGTCAATTGGAAGCAACTTAACTGTCCTAAACATATCGATAAAATGCTGGCCAAAATCATGTTGCTTATTGTCATAAATTGCACTAACATAGGCCCATTGAATCAGTAGGAATTTGGTGAGTGAACTCCTCCATATGTTTCACTAATGGACCTACCTTACGTGTGCCTTACTTTAGTATAGTAAATTGCAGTTAGATTAGACTCATTTGAATCAATGGATCATACAAAATATTTGACTGACTAAATCCTCGCTGATTCAGTGGATCTATCCTAGTGCAATTTACTATGCTAAGCAACAGAATTTTGGCCATTATTTTATTCCATCTCCTGGTAAAATGTGAATTGATAAAATATATTGACAAGAAACTGCATATTCCCAGATGTGTAAATCTGTCACTTGACATGCAATTTCTGAACAAATATACTGATCACTGGTAGAGGACCTTTCTCTGAATTGCAATTCTGTGAATGAAGCTGCTAAGTGCTTGATGTTTTTCTTATGATGGAGATGTGCCTTTTATACAATTCTTGGAAGGCTCATTAAAAAGTGTAGTACTGTGTGGGAAAGAAACATGAATCTGTTATATTTTTTCTATCAAACAGAAATTTTTAATTCATTTGGGTTTTTTGAGTATTTATTCAGACAAATGGCAGAGTTGTAGTCAGTAAACTCTTCTGTACCACTTCTAGTCTCATTGTCTTAAGTAGTGTAGCATATAGAATATTGGGTGGCCAGTACACATTATTATTAAAACATTACTAAACATCTACTGAATTTATTTACTGAACTCAGTCCAGTGAAAATTAAGGATGCTCCATCTAATTTAGTTACATTGTAACAGATTGTGTACATGTGATATTATATTGCTACCTTATGCCACTTTTCATTTTATTTTTGTGTCATAGTCACATCTGGATATATCTGCTGGTCAGTGACCGTAATAAAGCTCATTCATTCAGAGTTGCAGTCAGATATTTTTCCATATGGAAATTTAAATTCATTATTCTTCACTGATGAAGAGCCAATACACATTTTTTAAAAATAGGATGAATGTAAAGAATTATTGGAGATTATTTTGATCTAGTTCTCTCCCCTCCACCCCTGTGGTTCATAAAGGGACTCCTTTTGTTCATTTTTCAAAGAGCCACTATAATGAAATGAACAGCATTACTTAAATTCTAATATAGAAGATATGCACATCTCTGATTTTTATGTCCATCTTACAATTCATTCAGTATTATTCGAACCATTGATGGCAAAGTTCTACACAAGTACAATCACCCAGCTGCAGTTTTTGGCTGTGATTGGAGTCAAAACAACAAGTGAGTAATTATGCTGTAAATTTCCTCATATATTTCATCTCTTAGTTCCAAATAATGCTAGACAATAAAATAAATTTGATTTTAAACAAATGTAGCTGATGTAATATAATTGTTGGTATAATATATCTTGGTAACTTCATGAGATAATATAAACAATAAGTATTCTACACTGAGCCTGACTGGAGATGACACTTTTATGCCCTTTTGTAGAACAGTACTGAATTCCAGTTATGTGTGAATTCTAAATATGTTTAATCCCACAGCTGAGACTGTAGGAAAAGTAATTTGATGAATGGCATGCATCTGAATTTTGACTCACATTTGCATAAAATTAATTTTTGAGTATGTAGGAAAAGTAATTTGATGAATGGCATGACTCACATTTACATAAAATTAATTTTTGAGTTAACCAGTGATTAAACCAGGTTCAGTTGTGGGTGGTATTCTTGAAAAATTGACTAAACTGTGGAATGCTGTTATTACCTGATAATTTGAATTAGGAATGCAAGAAAACAACTGATGCCAAATGTGGATAAATCTTACTCTGATGTGGTTTTTAAAATACTTTTCAAAAATCTGTCCTTGGAATACATGAATATTTTGTAAATACTATATGCTTTGGAGAGCTGCACTGGTGAGGAAAAAGATTATCCTGCAACATTAGAATTCTTCAGTGTTCCCCTCAGTAGAATTTTGGGTAACATACACTGGAATGCTGCATGAAGAAGGTGACAGAGAGATAATAACATGGTAATAATACAGATGGAACTAACTTGTGAATACTAACACCAGATGAGTAATACAAGACAAATTTTCAGTGAAGTATACTTGTTGATTGTACCATTTTTAAACAGTAATGCTCTGGTGATTCTTTTTCCAGAGATATGATAGCTACTGGATGTGAAGATAAAAATGTCCGTGTCTATTACCTAGCAACTAGCTCGGATCAGCCACTGAAAGTATTCAGTGGACATACTGCAAAAGTGTTTAATGTACGATGGTCGCCTCTGAGAGAAGGAATCCTCTGCAGTGGTTCTGATGATGGGTAAGCACATTTGGGTTGGAATTTTGGTGGTGATATGAGCAATGTAACAGTCATTTATGTCCATAACTAAATAGGATAGTTGGCTTCGATTTAGCAGAAGATATATAGGCTACCAAGGAAGCCATCAGAGTGATGCCAAATGTTAAAAGCTGCAGTATGCATTACTTTTTTCTCCTTACTATAAGATTTGTGGAAAGGCAAGGAATGTGCTTAAGTATGTGGAGAGTAGGGAAAGTGGCATACTCCTGTGGGCATGAAGTATCTGTGCTCAGAGAGGGGAAAAAAGTCAGGAAAATTAAAGTAGCTCATTTCAACAACATGCATCTTAAGTGTGACTGAGGTGTTTTTAAATATACTTTTGAAAATATGTAGGATGTTCATCTGCATTAATGATACTAAACTTTGATGTATATAGCTCTTGGCATAAGATTTCTGTTTCATAGTTCATCAGCTAGATTAGGTCTCACATCTAGTATGATCATTTATGTCTGTTCCATTGGAGTGCAGGAGATACAACTACATTTCTGCACGTGTACATACTAGTAAGTTTGTCATTTTTTAAAATTTGTGCAGCTTACTTCCAAGTAGTTATGCACATGATTGTTCTACAAAAATACTAATATCATGGTCAAAAAAAGCAGAGGAGAATGTGATGGGAGAAGGTGAATAAGGACAGACTGTAAAGTAGTCTTCATATTCATTTGCATAGTGCTGAAGCATACACATCACAGCTATTAACATTTCTACATTTTGAAATAAGTCAGAAATTTGTATAATTCTGTGAGTTCCTGCAGTGGTGAAGAGTGACTACATTGGAGCAGATGGTCCCAGTTTTTCACACAGTCATTTGTGTATTAGGTTTACAGTAAAGGAAAGTGTGTGCAACCAAGCATTATGGTGTGAAGAGTTCTTGTCAGTAGTCAAATATTGCAGTTCAGATAATTCACTTCTTATTTACAGCACTGTTCGGATATGGGACTATACACAGGATGCTTGTATAAATGTTCTTAATGGACATAAAGCACCAGTACGGGGATTGTTGTGGAATACTGAAATACCTTACTTACTGATTTCGGGAAGCTGGGATTATACAATCAAGGTGTGGGATACAAGAGATGGAACTTGTCTGGATACAGTATATGATCATGGTGCAGATGTCTATGGTAATATATTTAAAAGTTTCATTATATTTTAAGTAGATTTTATATACTGTACCTAAAATTTGTAATTGAAAAAATTAAAAACAAAATGATTAAAATATCTTTTTTCTAGGATTGACCTGTCATCCTAGTCATCCCTTTACCATGGCCTCTTGTTCTAGAGATTCCACTGTGAGACTTTGGTCTTTAACCCCTCTAATAAATCCTCTTCAAATAAATATCCTGGCAGACAGACCATGGGATGAGATTATAGGAAACACTGGTGAGTAAATATGCATATATGAGAGTTGATGTTAAAGATACACCAAACTGTCCCTTTATTTATTTCTGCCTTTGCCCCCCCAATACTCTATTATATGTATGGAAAGTTTATGAAATGTCTGATATCCTTGTTTTTCCACAAACCCCCCTCCCCAAGCACTTTACAAATATGTGCCATAAAATAGCACATTGATGCATGCATATTGATAGTTCTGTGTGCAAACATCCTGTACTGCTGGAATGCATTATGGTTTCCATGCTATTTTACTGCTTTGTTTTGATATACAATTTCTTACACAATTTGAGAAGATGAATCAGTAATCACATGTTCATTGATATACAATTTCTTACACAATTTGAGATGAATCAGTCATCACATGTTCGTAGGCTATCCTAAATAGTGCCAGCCATCAGATCAAAAAGTACCGCAGTGGTTCATTTCTGCTAATGCATGTTAATCTTCACAGGCCTAGTTGTGCAATTTATGTGACTAGTGTTACATTGGAATGTGTACTCCATCAGTAATAGTGCAGTATTGATAGACATTGACACTCAGCTGCACATTCTCTTGTGTGTTTTTCTGCTTTGAACCTGATTCATAGAGTTTGTGCATTCACTCACTCTTTGGACTCACTTTGCAATGGAAAATCAGTCTGATAGAATTAAATGCAGGAAATATTGGGGTAATTGTCCAAACCAGCAGAACAGTATCTGTGGTGGAAACAAAACTTACTGGAGAATGTATAGCTGCAAATAAAATGGCTAGCAAAGCCCAAAAACTAGCACATTCTTCCCTAGTGTGGTGCCCTCCAGATTTGAAGTAATGGGTCCTGTCATCCCTATGTTTGCTATGCTTGGTGAAGGTGATGGGAATTGTAGTCCAAAACATCTTCAGGGTGCCATACAAAGGAGAGAGGAGCTAGAACAGTGGTTCCCAGCCTTGGGTCCCCAGATGTTCTTGGACTGCAACTTCCAGAAGCCTTCACCACCAGCTGTCCTGGCAAGGGCTTCTGGGAGTTGCAATCCAAGAACGTCTAGGAGCCCAAGGTTGGGAAGAGGATCTATGGTGTATACAGGTCCTGCCGTGCAGTATGTCAGGCTATGGCATGTAGCTGTTTTGTTCTTATTTTTTGTTTTAAAGTGATACAACTCTTGATTTTTAATAGATCGTGCCACTGAGGTTGGTGCTCCTCCCTTGCTTTGTGGCAAAGTATCCAGAGATATTAAACAGGAAGTAGACAAGCTGAGTGGCAATCCTCGAGGGAGAAAACTGAGGTGGTTCTCAGAATGTTTATCAGTAAGTAGAGTACAAATAAATAATATGTGTATGTGATGTAGGCATACAGAGTAGGGATTTCAGTAAGTTAGATCTAGATTAACATAGGTTTCATTAAAATCAGTGGGATAAGTTAGTTGTGCCTGTAGATTTCAGCTGCCGCAAACTAGTTCGGATCTGACCCCATTTTAAAAAACCTATTTTTTATGTAAGACAGAATCTTAATGAGGCAGAGAAACTGTAGTGTTTTTTTAAAAATCATTTTGCAGTCCAGTATATTGCCCAAAATTGCAACACTAATGGTGGAACTTCTGGATGGAAATTGCTTCAAATTACAAAATCACTTTAGACATTATCACTTGCATGCTGAGCTGTGCAAGCAATAAAGTCTATGGTCTTTTCTTAGTTTGAGGCAATTGAAACTGCTAGTGTTAACACAGACATAGCTCTGCAAGAGGGGTTTTGGCATTTATTTATTATCATTTAAAATATTTTATGTTTAAGTCTGTATTCCTCTAAATCAGAGCTTAAAGAATTAACAAGATTTAATGTAATGGCATGCAGAATCCATCGCCTGTAAGGGAGCAAGAGTAAGATGTTATTCTAAAAGCATAACTCTCCCACAGCTTAGTTGCAGATAATTTCAGTATTCATTGCTACTTTTAAAAAGAGATTGTATACAGTTTCAAGACACCAAAGTAGTTAGTTATTGTAGTTTTTAAAAGACAACTCTTTCCCCCTTTCTCAAAAGCACCCCAAATGTTACTTTTTATTTAAAAAATAAATATCTGAATGCTACAAGCCAGTGCTGTGTGCCAAAAAGCAGACTCTCTTTCCATCCATCCCAGTTGTTGCCTCATCACCCACAACAGAACTTGAGGCAGCAGCAAAACCGCCTGAACTATATGAGGATGCTGTTTTACCATTAGGTGAGGCTACAGATCTAAAATTATGCAAGGAACTGAAAGTTACAACACCAAAGGAACAGTGTTATCCCTTGTTACACTATCATGATAATGTAACTCATAATGTTACACCATAGTCATTTGAATTAATTGGATTGGAATTGGAGAAGGAATTGCAAGTAATTAATTACTTCCAAATTCTGAGCTCCATTTCAGCATGATAGCCAGCTTATGAAAAATAACTTTTCTCTAACAGTTTGGGAACTAGTAAGCTAAATATAATTAAATAGAAATCACAGAAGAGCTATATTCAGCGACAGATATACTGTACATGAATAAACAATACTAGGCAAATACTGTTTCTGAAAAGTTTTTTTTAACCCTGTTTTCAAGGATATGGCTTCTCTCTCTTGTGTCATATTTTTTCCCCTCTTTCAATGCCTTTACATAGATTATCATAATTTTAATTGTTTTTGGTATATATAGACTAAATTTATATCCATGGGGGAAAATGTTTACCATTATTAGCTTATTATTATTCTACTTGACAAAGTCTGAATTCTTACTTTACACAGTAAATATATTTTGCTATGAGTACACCGTTATTGATAATTTTAATGAAGACATGTATCTATTTAAACACTTGACAAATACATAAAGAGAAAACATGATTTGCCTTACCTTTCTCATCCTTTTCTATTCCATATTTATAGACAACTGTATATTGCAGTTTGTGCCATCAAACCATGATATACTGCAGCAAACGTGAATTTCAGCTGTAGACATTTTTAAGTTAACATTACGATTCTTAAATATCTGCCTGATGGTATCTCTCATGCTACTTTATAAACTCTCCAAAAACCCTATTTTGGTACAACCTACCAATACTCATATTTCATTGTTAAACAGTTTGAAGTTACAGTAAACATACATACTTTCCTCTCTATCTATCCCAGTCCACCCCCCTCATGCCATTGTTTTCTCTCCTGTATTGGATTTTACATTGCAAACTCCTTAGGGCCAGGACATTTCCCACTAGGCCCAAATCAATACACATGGATGGTTTAGATAAATCACATTATTTACCCATGCACATTTCTGTAGGAGGATGCAAGAACTGTCCCAAATGTTTTGTTTTTTAAATTGGATTCAATCTTGGCTTATTTACTATTGAACTGTCCTGTTTTTACTTTTGCTTTGAATGAGGGTAATCTAATTTTCATTGTAGATTTAATTTAATCATTGCATTCTTATTATTGCAGCCCCCAGGAGGCAGTAAAAACCTATGGGATCTTGTTGCTGTAATAAAAGGCCAGGACGATAGCTTGCTTCCACAGAATTACTGCAAAGGGATTATGCACATGAAACATCTGGTTAGATTTAGAATGGTAAGCTTAAGGGCTCATTTACATTAAAGCAGTAGTTTGGAATAGGTGTAAAGAGGATGCAAGTTAGATCAGTTCTGAGTAGAGGTGGGGGTAATTGTATATGAATATCCTCCCACAAGTGCAGATAATGAGAGTCCAGCCCCCTGGGGCCAGACCGACCACTCACGATTCTGCCACAAGCTCCACGGTGCCTTCCTATCGCTCCATTGCTTGTGATTGATTAGCTGCTAGGCCAGACCGACCACTCACGATTCTGCCGCAAGCTCCACGGTGCCTTCCTATTGCTCCATTGCTTGTGATTGATTAGCTGCTCTGTGACCTAGCAGAGAGGCTCATCATCCCGCCTTCTGCCAGGAGTGGCTAATCCATCACGAGCAACGGAGTGATACGAAGGCACCGTGGAGCTCATAGCAGTGGCGGAATTGTGAGTGGTCGGTCTGGCCCCAGGGGGCCGGACCCTCATTATCTGCACCTGTGGGAGGGATATTCGTATACGAATACCCCTCTCTCTAGTTCTGAGTCATGTGGTGTTTGAATTGCAGTTTGCATTCCCTTGGAATAAACATATCTGGTGCTGCTGAAGCAAGGCTGTTGCCAGATGCATGCACTCTCTCTCCAACCCAAGACTGGAATTCAGAGAGGTGGGCAGCTGGGCGTGCTTGTGTGTGCGCCTGGAGGAAGGAGGAGCAATAGGAAAGAGATGAGCAGTGCTAGAAAAACTTGCATGCACAGCAGTGCCTTGTGAGCACTGATGCACACAGGAGAGCCCGGCAGTGATGAGCAGCTGACACACAATGCAAACGCACAAACAAAACACGTGCACACTCCCCAACCTGGGACTGGAAGAAGATTTGGGCTAGTGAGCAAGCGGCAGGGGGCTCCTGCAAGCTGCTTGGTGGCTGGGTTTCTCCCCCCTCCCCCACTTTTAACACAACAGCAGGGGTAAGTGGCTGTGAGAGTCAGCCAGTGAGAGGGCTACTTCAGAATTAACACGGACATGGGATCAATGTAAATGAATTGATTCATCATCCACTTTAAAATAAACGGCCCTCTGGCAGAGGAGTAAAAAACACTCTCCAAAAAACCATGATTCTTTATCGAAATTAATCCTCACTTACATGTATGTCATGTATTCATCCATTTTTACACCAACTCAAAACAGACAAACCCTGATTTAAAGTGTTCTGTTTGTTTGTTTTAGCAATGTAACCGCCTTCTAAGTGTGCATATTGTCTCTCTCCTATCACATCGGAGCTCTTGGTTCCAAATAAAATGAAATATTCTGCAGCAAATTGGTGCCAGTGAAGACATACTAGCAACAGTTCACCACAGTCACTTAGTGCAGGTTGCTGTACAGTGGTTTGTGTAAGTAATAGAATTCTGGCCATCTGCTTCCTCAGACAAGGCTGCAGTTACAAAAAGGAAAGCTGTGCTTTGGCAAGAAACCAAGCATTGGTTACAATTTAACAAAGAAGATGTGAGAAGGATGCTCTTGGGTGCAAGTGTTGCCCATCTATATCTATTGTGAGGCACTTAATTAGAGTTCTTCCATTTTTGTTTCCTTGACACTGGAATTACTTAAAACGGTTGATTTCAGACTTGGTTCCTCATTTAGTCTATAGTTAGTTTATACTTCTCAGAAGAATAAGTACAGCAGTTATAAATTGTATATGATCCCTCAGCTGTACCAGATGGGTTATTCCAAATGGGAGCTATCATTTCAGAGTATTGCAATTCCTGATTGTTACATCTGTTCCACTCATTTTGGATGTGTAGGACTATGAAAGCAAAGTTTATTTTTCCAGTACCCTGGCAAAGTACTTACATTGTAAGACATAAAAATGCTAGTGCAGTTAGACTAATACATGTTGATTGTTTTACAACAACACATAACTCAGAAAGTGTTTTTTGTTGGAATATTGTATAATATATATATTACAACAGTTAATTTAAGATGATGGGGATTTTTGTTCTTACATTTTATTATGTATCAGTAGCATTAAATCCTTGGGAATTACAAACTTCTAGCGGAATAAATGTACACTGAGAGAAGTATATGTACTTATTCTAAAAGGGGCTTTCCTAGTGGGTTTTGCTTTTAAATGTCCCGACAAATGACAAACAAGGAAAATGTGGAATGATCTCTGCAGGTCAGAAATATGTTGGCTAAAATAGATGGCACATGCCACTGGTTTCAGTAATACTTAACTGTATCTTGCATGGTTTTTCTTTTGTAAAGACATGCATTTCCTTTTTTCAGACAACTGACCCTAACTAGCAAGGGCAACTGTCAGGACGTTGAATTTAACCAGGGAACTTCTGCTTTGGGACAAGGCAGCAGACATACAGTACTTGAGCTAGGCTTTGACTTCTGCCTTTGCTGCTTCTCTGATTATCATAGCTATATTATTTCTGCTGAGGGAGGGGCTGTTCAAGTGTAACAGCAGCTCCTTTTTACAGGATCATTTTTACAGATTGGTACCATATACTGGAGAAAGTTGTCAATATTTACCTTATATTATGGCAAAACAGCTTATTGTGATTTTTCTTCTTACAGTCCAAAGCCCAAGAACTCACAACTGTAAAGATGTCTAAGTTTGGAGGTGGTATTGGTGCACCTAGTAAGCAGGAAAGGCTGAAAGAAGCAGCAGAAATACATCTAAGACTCGGGCAAATTGAAAGATACTGTGAACTTATGGTGGAACTTGGAGAGGTAAACTGTTAAATTAGTGCTTGATAAAATGCAGTGTTTATAATTAATGAGAAGAAGTTTGCATATATATGGTGCTAGCTCATCACTTGTAGACTGATATGAACAAATAAAAAGATGGAGGGCTGTTTTAAAAAACTATTGAATGGCTTATGTTTCCTTATTGAGAAAAAATAAGTAGATATAATGTATTTGTATTTTAGTGGGACAAAGCACTCTCAGTTGCTCCAGGGGTATCTGTGAATTACTGGAAGAAGCTAATGCAGAGGTAAGATATAAAACTATCTTCTGCACTAATTTGTTACATATTATTTGTAAAGTTGCATTATTCTCCTCTATTCATGTGATGGCATTATCTGTCTTCATGGCAAGAAGGTGCCAGGGTACATCTCAGTCATGTACCTGCTCACTCACCCAAAATATGGGTAGCCTGTACAGTATTAGCCATGGCATGAGATATGGTGGCCTGTATTAGCCATGGCAAGTTGCACAAACCTGATATAAATGTTAGTAGAGTCAATGAATCTAATGCTAGTTGTGACTTACTATTGAATACTACTTACAGTGGTGCCTCGCAAGACAAATTTAATTCGTTCTGCGGTTAATGTCGTCTTGAGAAATGTGTTTTCCCATAGGAATGCATTGAAATCTAATTAATGTGTTACTGTGGGCAAAAAAAGTCAGAACAAAGTCAAATTTGGTTTACAGAGGGTTTATTAAATGCTCTTTAAATACATATTGTGCAGGTGATTTCAAAAATTTCAATGAAAAAACTTTAACTTTTTAAACATCATAGAAAAATATTTAAAAATCAGCAAACATGAGGCAGGAACATCTGCCTTCACTGAAACTGAACAGAAAGAGTCACTAGCAGCCCTTGGATTGTGCAAAACTCTTCAGAAAGTGCATTTTTAAGGCATGTAAACATACAGAAACCAACAGTACAGAAACTTTTTACATTTCACATTTTAAAGTGAACAATTGAGGCTGAAGTCTCTAAATCACCAGGACCACTGTTTTAAGTCAGGAAACTGGAGGCAGACAGAACTGTCTCCACATCACAGCAGTAGTCTTTTACGTTCCCAGAGCTGCAGACGGTCTCTCTGGCAATGGCCCGAATGATGGTCAACTGGGAGAAGGCTTTAAGGCTTGTCCTCAAGTCTTCTAGGAGGAGGAGGAAGAAGGCAACTGGGCACCACTGGTAGAAGCAGCAGGTTCCTCTTCCTGTCTTGGCTTCTTCGTGAGGAACCTCTCCATGGTCATCTGCTTCTGCCGCCTTTTCAGCATCCCTCTGAAAGGGGACATGATCCTTCCGTCATATGTGTCTGAAAGGTCATGTGCCAGAGCCTTGTCCGGGTGGTACCATTGTGCTTGAGTCTGCACATTTTGCCACTGTTCTAAGAGCTCCTTCAGTTTAGCTCTTCCTCGCCTGGCTCTTCTTCCAGAGAGGCCTGCTCTTCTGTAAAAGGTCCTTTTGGGCATCCTCATCCAAAACAGGCCTGTCTTGTTGCAGTTGAAGACCTGCTGTGGAAGGTAGGCCTGTGTTGTCACGACCTCCAGGAACTCTGTGGCAAAGTCCTCAGCCTCAGGAACATCAGAACTGTCAGCCTCTCCATGCCTGACCACACAGTGAATTCCAGATCTGGTTTTGTAGCATTCAAACCAGCCTCTGCTTGCCTTGAAGTCTTCTGGCTTGGCTGAGGTTCCTGGCTCTTGCTGCACGAGGTCTGCGTACAAGGCCTTGGCCTTCCCGCAGACAACAGCCTCAGTCACTGTGTCCCCTGCACACTGCTTCTTTTGCATCCAGATGAGCAGCAACTTCTCCACCTCCTCCAGAACAGCTGGCCGGTTCTTCACAATCCTGGTGAGTCCCTTGGCTACATCTGTTGCAAGGATCTTCTCCCTCCTCTTAAGGATGGTACCGATGGTGGATGGATTCCTCTGGTACTCTCTGGCAAGGTCTATCACTCGCATGCCTCCGTCGTGCTTCCTGAGATCTCCTTCATCTCAAGAGTAATCTTCTCCTTTATCATATTCCCAGCCTCTGCAGAAGCAGCCTTCTTGGGACCCATGTCAGCACAGCTGCTACATTCACAAAAACAAAAGGCAGTGCTTCACATCCACTTCACACACACCTTCCCTCTCACCTTCCCACCCCTGGCCAAAACTGTCCTGGACAAACAAGTGACATAACACCCCCCTCAACACAAGCTAAACCCCCCTACCTTTCCTGTGTAACTCAAAAAATAAAATTGGCATAACACCCCCCTCAACATAAGCTAAGCTCTCTACCTTTCCTCTGCAGCTAACAAAAAAATTGGCATGACAGCCCCCCCACCAACACAGTAGAACAAATGCACACCCTGACTTTTGCTGGCAAAAAAGTTCTAAAAACCTTCAATTTCTCAAAGACAGGATGCATCCACAACACAGACCACACCAAACACAGGATGCGCCCACATCACAGACCACAAAAACATATGTCTCCTTTATTTATTCCATGGTAGTGAGTTTCATTTCCAGGAGAGAATACAGATAAGAGATGAAGTGACAATGGTTACTGAACACAGGAATGGGACTATGAAGCTGCTAATTAGCAAATCCTAGCCACAGTGATAAGCTAGGTAGACTTGGTTGTCACAGGCATGCTGAACGTTGCTTATGGGAAAGAGATGAGAGTCTGATCCCACCCTTGACATGGTTAAATAATGGTTAAATAATGCTCAGACTAAGTTTTACTGTACTGAATTTTTATTTTTACTTATGTACAATCCTTGGGGGACCCCCAAAGCCCCTTGAGGATTAAGACATGGGTCCAGCCCAATTATTAATCCTAACTAGAGTAGACCCATGGAAGCAATAGAACTTGCAAAAAGATTGATTTAAGTCTCATTCAGTTAGTCAGTGACCTACTCCAATTGGGACTAACAGTCAATTTAGTCAATGATCTATAAAATGATCATTATAGTAATCATCATCAGGAGAGAAGGTCTAGAAAATGATGAAGTCAAGATCTTGTGGGATTTCCATATCCAAACCGATAGACAACTTGACCAACCATACCAGACATAGTAGTAATAGAATGAAATATTGGATCATTAACATTGCAATTCCAGGGGATGCCACAGTTGAAAATAAAGAATTGGAAAAACTAACAAAACACAGAGATCTGGCAATTGAAACATCTTGCTTGTGGATGAAATATACTTCAGTGGTCCCCATTGTCATTGGTGCTTTAGGAATAATAGCAAGAAACTTCACACAGTATTATAAGCAGTTGCAGATCTCAGAAATCACACCATGAGAGTCACACACAAAAAAGGCAATATTAGGAACAGCATACATACTACATTGATATTTAACAGATACTTAGGTTTTTGGTTAAAACTTGTATCTGTTGTATAATACCAGTCAACCTATTTTTGAACAACAACAACAACAACAACAACAACAACAACAACAACTGGGGCTTTATTTAAACCCATGCTTTTGGGAGAACTGTATAAATTAGAAGGTGTAATGAACTTTATAAAACTTGATACCCCATTGTCTGATGATTCAACCTTATACATTTTAAAAATAAGATAAAATATCTGACAATTTTTAGGAGAGCTGACCAGTTAATTCAGGAAGAAAATGATGATGTTATTCCATACTGCATAGCTACAGGTGATGTGAAGAAACTCGTCGCATTTTTTACTTCAAGAGGCCAGCTCAAAGAAGCTTTGCTAGTAGCACAGGTATCTCTTTATATAGATGTTCTCTGTGTGTATACGCATGCATTATATACAGTAGAAATCCAAAAGGTATTATCAGTGGGGATGATCTTAACTGTGGTAACTAAGCCTTGTTTAACCGATGCTGTAGGGTAGCAAATATTTCCAAGCATACATAAGAAAATGAACACTTGTATAGTGAAGAAAAGTCTTTGTTTTTGCCAAATATAACATATTAGTTTTTTAGAATAATAATTTAGAAATTATTGAAAGAAAGAAAAAGGAAACTAGCAAGGTCTAGATTTTCCTGTTCCCTACATATACTGTATGTCCATCCTGATCAAAAACACATATCTGCAAAATCATATAATGAATCCTGTGTTTGTGATTACCAGCAAGAATGTTTTGAAAATCCAGTTTTAATTATGCACATTAGTTACCCTCCAATATTCTCAGAAATTGTCCCTGTTGATTTGTATCAATTACAGGTATTGTGCTCTCTGTAAAAATCATATCGAGGGCTTGTAAACAAACAAAAAAGTTTTCACACACATATATATAAAAAAGTTCAAAGATTAGGTGCAACAAAAATAGAAGAACAATGTTTTCATATCAGTTTCTTTAGTATATAATAAAAATGTCTACTGTTCTTCAGTGTTCCATATACAGTAATACTTTGTATAGTACTCTTCTGCTTACCACTGATTTATTACAGTGTGTGTGCACAGATAACCATTTTGTGATGCTCAGTGGGGGCCTAGATTCCCTAAAGAGGTAGACCAAGCCTCCAGGAGACTAGGGACCTGGACTACTTAACTCTGTGCAGAGGTAAACCAGGCCTTTGGGAGACCTGAGGTCCAGTCTACCTACTCCATATAGATTGGTTCTCTGGAATTCATGGCATAAGATGTATGTTAAAATGACCCTGTTTAGCACTGATTTGGTGAATTCTTAGAATGCATCCTGAATGCTAAGCGGGGTGTTACTGTATATAATTACCTGCTTTTATACAAGAACTGACAAGACACTACTAACAGCTTCTTGTCAGCCAAGTTGCAGTGATGCTAAAAGCCATGGCAGAACACTGAACAATTGGGGAAAACAATGGCCACAGTTTCATTGGTTATTGGTCCCACCTGTCATGTGGAAGTAAAGAGGGCTCCAGAACTGTGTGTGTAATGGGCCTCTCCACCACCAGTCCCATGAAGGGGATCACCACCTGAGAGGATCCAATTCCCATGGGATCCTCCATTTCTCCAAACTATCTATATTCTTACCTCCAACTGCCCCTGAGAATGCTGTGATGAAGGAAGGGAGAGGTGCACCAATACCATTCTCAACATTTGCACAATCAAAATAAAACAGTGAGGGTGGGTAAGCAGGCAAAAGTCAGGCTACAACTGGCTGCAGTGTTATCCTCCCCAGATGGATATGGGAGTGGAAATCTACTCCTTCCTATCTGCCAAGGAATTCCCCAACCACAACTGCCCTTCATTGGTAAGAGAAAAACCAAATCATATAAGCCCTGCTTGGTGTGAAGACTGCTTGAGGAACCCTTCAAGATGGCTGCCATTCCACCAACCTCCCACACTGAGAAACCTAGATTCAGCTAAATCGAAGAATAGGGCTTGTCAAGAAACAGACCTTATTTGGCTGTAACTAACAGTGCTAACCCTAATACACAGCTCTTAGTTAACTCTTTCCCTCTCACACATTTTTATATATAAAACAACCTCTCAAGACAGGTAACACACAAAACAATCAGCTGATACCACCTTTCATAAATGTTCACTTTTCTTAACAGGTATGATTGCCACACCTAGTGCATGCCTCCCCTGCAGCTGTCAATTAACACCAATTACTTAGCGTGCCAGCCAGTAGAAATCTATATACAATATATCCACAATGCAAAATCGCCAAAAGTGGCAAGAGGAATACCACTGATAAATCTGGGGTCATCTGTCATGGTATTCACCTGAGTCCATGTCCAAATCCACAAACCCTGTACGCATAACAAGACAAAACATGTTTGTTTTTACTGCAAGTAACATTTTATTTTAGATAATAGAGCAGTGTAAGTACATCAATCCTGGCTCTTTCCATAGGTAGGAATCGGAAATCATTCTTATTAGTTTCATATTTCAGTCGCAGGCTAATTTAGTAGTTTGTTTCATCTTCTCCCCTCCAATATGTTAAGAGAATCGTGTGTGTGTGTATTGGTTGATGTTATTTTAATGTTTCTAGGCAGCATGTGAAGGAAATATGCAAACATTCCAGTGTTCAGCATCAAATGGATCAACATATTATGAAGGAACCAGCATGGAAGATTACAATGAGTGAGTCATGTAGAAAAGCTATTTTTATATGCTGTCATTTTTTAAAATCTGTTGTGTGATGAATTGAAAAATAGGGTATCAGCAAATTGTGATTATTTTCTACTGAGATTGAATAATTTGTGCTAAACGTTGAAACCTGCTCCTCTGATTTTCTTACTGTATATTTCTAATTATAGATTTTGCTTTGCAGAAATAATTGATTTTTATTGACAAAATAGTACAGTAATACCCCCCTTTGTGCTCAGGATACCTCCCTAGAACATGGAATGGTAACTGAAACAGAGGTAGACGGGGTCATTATAATACACATTATCATATATATAATAATAATATATAACGTATATTATTATACGTATGTAAGGTGAAAATGCAGTGAAAATTTGAGCTGGTTCCAAGTCTAAGACAGTAGAGTAGGAGAAGGGGGAAAAGAAGGGAAAGAGAAACACTGAAGAGAGAGGGGGCGAAAAGGGGTAAAAAAAGGAAAGAAGAGAAAGAGAAGAGGAGCCATTCCTCTTGAGCCATGCACTTGGTGCCCATGCTACCTTTACTGTGTGGAAGCAGTCCAGTGAGTGAAAAGGGGCTGACGGAACACTCAGTTCCCTGCCTCCTTGCATGTGTATGTGTGAATAGACCGTGAAGTTCTGTCTGGGAGAATGTGTGTGAAAGGGAGTCAAGAGAGTGGGGAGGAGTATTGAGAGAGAAAATGCAAGTGGGGAAAGGGGGGGGGGCAATTTGCCACAACCAAAGAATGACTGACTGACTGACTGACTCTGGAGAGGGTGCTGAAAAATGTGTTATTATGAAACAGTTCTAAATGGGATGGTGTTAAGTGGTGTATTACTTTATAAACTTCCATACTTCCAGAGTTACTAAAAAAAAGGATTGCATACATAAGTATGGACTGCACCCACAACCAACCCATCTCCTTTTCAGTCCCTGGGCATTTAGAGCAGTGGTTCACAATCTTGAGTAACCCAGGTGTTCTTGGACTGCAGTTCCCCAGAGCCTTCACCAACAGCTATGCTGGCCAAGGTTTTTGGCAGCTGCAGTTCAAGAACACCTGGGTTGCCCAAGATTGAGAAACACTGATTTAGGGTAATGAAACTAACCATTTTACACTTTTATTCACTGTCTTAAGTTTGTATTGCTTAGGGGCTGCCAAAGTTGTTAGAGGAGGAAAAAAGCAATGTGGTTGTCAACAAAGTGAGCTAGACCTTCAGTTCATCCTGATTCATCTGTCATGGATTATTTAAATTTAAATAAGTAGAACTGATACATGGGAATTTGATCGTTCTTTGGGTGCTTAAAGTCAAGCATCAGCATCTGATTAGGAAGATGTACGAAACAGAAAGGTAAAGAAATCAGGAGATCAAATCTAAGTACACTTTAAAAATATAAAGTGTAATTTCTGTATAATATAACTATGTTGTTGTTTAGTCGTTAAGTCATATCCGACTCTTCGTGACCCCATGGACCAGAGCACGCCAGGCCCTCCTGTCTTCTGCTGCCTCCCGGAGTTGGGTCAAATTCATGTTGGTAGCTTCGATGACACTGTCCAACCATCTCGTCCTCTGTCGTCCTCGTCTCCTCTTCTTGCCCTCACACTTTCCTAACATCAAGGTCTTTTCCAGGGAGTCTTCTCTTCTCATGAGATGGCCAAAGTACTGGAGCCTGAGCTTCAGGATCTGTCCTTCCAGTGAGCACTCGGGGTTGATTTCCTTCAAAATGGCTAGGTTTGTTCTCTTTGCAGTCCAGGGGACTCTCAAGAGTCTCCTCCAGCACCACAATTCAAAAGCATCAATTCTTTGGCGATCAGCCTTCTTTATGGTCCAGCTCTCACTTCCATACATCGCTACTGGAAAAACCATAGCTTTGACTATGCAGACCTTTGTCGGCAAGCTGAAGTCTCTGCTTTTTAAGATGCTGTCGAGGTTTGTCATTGCTTTCCTCCCAAGAAGCAGGCCTCTTTAAATTTTGTGGCTGCTGTCACGATCTGCAGTGATCATGGAGCCCAAGAAAGTAAAATCTGTCACTGCCTCCATATCTTCCCCTTCTATTTGCCAGGAGGTGATGGGACCATGATCTTAGGTTTTTTTGATGTTGAGCTTCAGACCATTTTTTGTGCTTTCCTCTTTAACTCTCATTAAGAGGTTCTTTAATTCCTTCTCACTTCCTGCCATCAGAGTAGTATCATCTGCATATCTGAGGTTGTTGATATTTCTTCTGGCAATCTTAATTCCAGTTTGGGATTCCTGCAGTCCAGCCTTTCGCATGATGTATTCTGCATATAAGTTAAATAAGCAGGGAGACAATATACAGCCTTGTCATACTCCTTTCCCATTTTTGAACCAATCAGTTGTTCCATATCCAGTTCTAACTGTTGCTTCCTATCCCACATATAATTTTTTCAGGAGATAGATAAGGTGGTCACGCACTCCATTTCTTTATGAACTTGCCATAGTTTGTTGTGGTCCACACAGTCTAACGCTTTTGCATAGTCAATGAAGCAGAAGTAGATGTTTTTCTGGAACTCTCTGGCTTTCTCCATAATCCAGCACATGTTAGCAGTTTGGTCTCTAGTTCTTCTGC